CCCAGAGCCAAAGGCAGAAGAAGCAACAGCAGCACCAGACCATAATCAGTGTTCCATTGAACGCACAAAATCATTTAGCGAAACCAACAAAAACAAAGCACAAAGAAGAGTCAGGGCCCGAGTTTGGAGGTGGTTGGTTGTTAACAGTAGAGCCTGCACCCCAAACCGAACCAATCCGATCCGATCCAAACCAAAGCGAACCAAAAAGCACTTGAAACTGTTTTTTAAAAGAGTCTCCGAGAGACAGCGACTGCGAGTCCAAGTAGGGTAAAAGCAAAGTGTTTGCTTTGGAGAGTAAGTATGAAGTATATGTTAGGGAGTACGATTACACAGTTAAATATATATGGCTATATCATTTAAACAATGGATTAACATTTATCAGGTAATCACTTAATAATAGGCAAATATTCCTAAAAAAAAATAGATTAGAACTTGTTGAACTGTTGAGAAAAATCATGAATAAAAGATTTTTAAAAAATTGGCAAGTTTCAAAATAGAGAACATATTGTAATAAAATTACTTTGTATTGATGACCAAGGCTGACAGGATTTTCTCAAAGTGTATCACACTTGGATGAATGAATATAGTCGGCTGGAAGTGCTAGTGGCTTATGGCTCATGGAGTAGGTTCAAAGCACGCTATGTAGCAGACCAAGACCAGCCAAGACGATGAGTTGAGTTTTGTAGCAAATTGAATTGTCTTTGTTGCCGTTCTTGCTGAGTGTGTGTGCATGTGTGTGTGTGTGTGTTGTGATGTTGCATGAATCACGTGACCATGACCACCAATGCAATGCCATAGGCCAAGAACAACCGAGCCGGGCTTCGCCTCGCTTTTGCTCTCTGTATATGGACGCATTCGCAATTTGAGCCTCACTCAAAAGATCATTTACTTTCATTAGGAAGCACAAACGAAACTTGTCGTGTAGCAAGTGCAAACTTGGTCTAATAAACAGCCATTAGGCAGTCGGCCTGGATCATGCATGAAATGGCCCACAGATCGCTCCGTTCTAACAGGATTTTCTTTGGGGCAAATCGTTCTCACCTTATTGGGATGACGTCTTTTGCGTTCGCCTTGAGTAGCTGCTGGAATCGGCGAAGAGGACTGCAGTTTGGCCTCCTGGCGATCTAATGTTAAAAGAATAAATAAATATAAATTAATCCCAAAATAATTCGTATCCATATTGATCTTTAATCTACTCACATTTCATTTCGATTTCCTCATCATCCAATAGCAATGAGACCACTTCCTTGGGCTTAAGTGTGTCGGGCTTGAAGTTACCGCCACTTATGACCATGCGTTGAATCTGAAAACGGGGGAGAAAATACCAATATTCGATTGAATAAAATTAGAAATTCAAGACAGGAAATGATATGAAACTCGTACAAGAACAGGGATAGCGCCAAAGGGTACCCTAACATCCTTAACTATTTATTTATCGGCCCCGGAATACTTTCATATGGTAATCAAGGGATTTCTGTTTTATAAATTAAGCCAATAAATGCACAAGACAGCGGAGAAGTACTCCAACTTATAAAGAACCCGGTAGGAGTAACCGAAATGTCGCCTAACCAATTGTATAATTAATTTCCGGTGTTGGTTTACCAATCCAAACCATTTTAAACCCATCTACAAGTGCTCGTGTTTCGCGTTGAGCATTTTTTTTTTTAAATCCCAAAGGCACAACAATGCATTGGTTTTTAGGAGGGTTTTTTTTTTTATTCCCAACAAAGCACGTGCCTAATATGCCACTAAACAAAAGGAAAACCGAGCAACTTGAGGAGTTTGCGGTTTGGTAGGGTTTCCTGTCCCCCGATCACTCACCTCGCTTTTTTCTCGGGCCCTCTGCAGAATCCGCTCCTCGATGGTTCCTTTGCAGATGAGTCGGTAGACAGTCACCTGTTTGGTTTGGCCCAAACGATGGGCTCGGTCCATGGCCTGTTGATCGACAGTGGGATTCCAATCTGAATCGTAAAAGATGACCTGAAAATGGGAGGAAATAGTTTGTAAGTTACATTTTTGTTCTTTTTTTTATTGATGATACAAAAGAGAAGAATAAGAATTGATTAGTAAGCATATTTTAAATTTATAAATCCAATCATAATGATGGTTGCAAATATATTTAAGTTCGCTAGGAATTTTCTTAGAACATTTTTCCGAGCGATATTAGTATGCAAATAGTTGCTGCACACGCACATCCTATCGCCAGTCTTTTGATGATTCTAAGCCTGCATATTTATTAGTCCCTTCCTCGAATTCGGCTATCCTATAAACCACTTTGTAGTGTCACGAATTTTTCGCTTTTCCTGTCTATTATCTGGAGTAGGAAAACTACCGCCACCGGTGTTAACCCTTCGTTGCCCCTGTTGAGCCGCACTTGGTACGTGTTTGGTGTGCAAGTGTTCAGCAATTCCCCGTCGGATTCTTAAGGGTTGTCTGGAGGGAGTGGCGTTTCCGGCTGAGAGATGGGACTAATTAAAATCGAACTGCTCAAGGCATTGATGTTTTCTTTTTTATATGGAACACGTGTTGAACCCTATTTAGAATTGAAAAAAGGAAGTATCCCATTGAGGAATCTGTCTATTTAATAGAATACATATTCAATTGAAAACATTTCCCTTTGGGAAGTAGAGTTGGTTTACTATTTTGCATAATATTGCGATCTGAAATTCGATATGTATTTAAATATAAAAAAAAATACGTTTGCTTTAGAAGTATTTTGCACGCTTAACTCACTTCTACAGTTTATGTATTACTATACTAAAAACTGCACTGCTTTACAAAATTATGATTAGTTGCATCTCTTTTAACATTTATATTTTATCCATGCAAAATGATATTTGAAACGCTCAAGCCAAACTTTATAAAAGCAAAATCAAACCATTTAAAATTCTCAATAGTAGCAGTAATGTACAACTCCAAGATAGCTTTGTTTTATTTAACTTCACTTTTTATTGGCATTCGCTGCAGTGGGAAAGCCATTGAGTTTCGATGGATTGAACAGAAATTGGATCATTTTCATACGGATTCACGAACTTTTAAAATGGTAAGATTATTAACATAAGCAATCCCTCAAAAACATATTACATTTACCACTGTTATAGAGATATATGGTAAAGGAAGATTATTTTAAACCAAATGGTACCATTTTTTTCTTCATGGGTGGCGAGGGCACCATATTATCACCCACGACAAATGTTTCACATATAATGCTGACCAAAAGTTATATTAACGACTTGGCTCAACGATATGGAGGATATCTGATACACAGCGAACATAGGTACTATGGAGAAAGCAAGCCGACAAAGTGAGTTCCAAAATGTAAAAACATTTATATTCAAAAAGGTATATTTAAATATTTATTGTCTTTAGATATCTCAATGTAAAATCCCTTAAATATCTCACAGTTCCACAGGCCATGGCGGATGTGGCTGCTTTAATTCGATTTTTAAAAGGAAACACAACTCATTTTGGTGAGTCAAAGGTGTTTTTGGTGGGAGGATCGTATTCAGGCTCTATGGTCCCCTGGTTCGCCAAACTCTACCCCAACTTGATTGATTTAGGCTGGGGTTCCAGTGCCCCGTTTCAATTTAAAACAGAACTAAGGGCATTCTATTCAAAAGCTCTAAAACTTGTTCTACAAGTTGGTGGTAAAAAGTGTCATCATCAGATCGTAGATGGTTTAAAGTCTCTCAAGTATGCTTTAAACAAACATAACACTTCAAAACTTATAGAAATGAATATTTGCGGATTTGACCATACAAAGAATGAGTACGTTATTAATTTGTTTGAAAGACTAACGAAAGTGGTTGGCACTCTAGTGCAATATGGAAAGTAAGTTATTTATTAGTTTGATATCCCAAAACAAATTAAAAGCATTTTTCTTGCATTGAAAACAGTATTAAAGAGGGTTGTAAGGATATATCAAAATCATCATTTACCCTGTTCTTAAAAAAGCAACTAAATGGAAACTCTACGAAATGCTACGACTCTGTATCCAGTTTTAAATCTTTACGGGACGTTCACTATATTACGGATTCAGGTGGGCAGATTAATAATTATTATAAAGCACTTTTTTATCAAAAATTATCTATAACAGCCCGTCTTTGGTTGTACCAAAGTTGTGATGAGCTTGGGAATTTTCAAACCTCTGAATATATTCCTTTGGATTTTTGGTTTGATATGTGTTTAGATGTGTTTGGAAATAAGTTTTCGAACTGTTATATAGACAGAAGAGTGAAAGACACAGATCGAAATTTCGAGGATATGGAAAACAGGGACAGTTTCCGGCGAGTCTTTTTAACCCAACCGGAACTGGATGCTTGGACCTCTACTAAAGTGAGAAAACACAAAAGGACTTATTTTCTAAAAGGTGAATTTGGACTCACTTAAGCATAGTTAATTATTTTAATTACAAATATGTTATAAAAACTTAAGGTGCAACTCACTGCGAAGATCTACAGGCCTCATCAGAAAATGATAAACCATCTATAAAAGTCTTAAAAAGGGACATTGATATTGAAGTGCAAAAATTACAACATAAAGCGCACAAACATTAAATTCAAATAATTTAAATTTATTTTAGTGTTATTTTATTTATTATTATTTATATAAAGTAGTGTATGGAATGTAAATTTTATTTTTTTACTACCTTTTTCAACATTCTCAAATTCTCTCTTGTAAGGTTACAATCAAGCACTAGTTAGTAATTGTATTACACCGTGTATAGCCCTTATCTGTTAACTCTAGTACCTACATTTCAAGTACCTGCAAATTGAGTGAGTGAAACCCAATGATTGATAATCGAAACAGTTGTTGCGACCACATTACCACTCGATAAGACGCCGCATGGCTTTCAGGCTAATAAAAACCAGCGTAAATACCAACAATCTATTTAGCCCAGTTGACAATATTATTTACTGGCTTAAAAACCGCTAATTAAGTACTATGCCTGCGATAAGATTTGGCTTTGGGCTAAAGCAAGTTATTTAGTTGGCACATAAGCTGTTAAAGGTTGTTCAGTTCCATTCAAACACTCGACGATTGACGATGAAGCTCTGGCTGGGAATTTCGTTGGCTCTTTTGGCCTTGGCCCAAACCAATGGAAGTATATTTGAAAGGACCTTCAAGCGGATCCATGAAGAGCCTCCATTGCCGGCCAATCAAAACCGAGCGGATGTAGTGCAGACCCTCTGGATCGAACAGAAATTGGATCATTTCGAACCTTCGGAAACGCGAACCTGGCAAATGGTATAAATTACATAATTTTCTGAAAAAAAAAATATTTTAGTTAATTTTTCATTTTAACCCTTAAGCGTTATATGCTCAACGATGCTCTATACAAGTCTGGTTCACCTCTGTTTATTTATCTTGGAGGAGAATGGGAGATCTCCTCGGGCAGAATAACTGGAGGCCACCTTTACGACATGGCCAAGGAGCACAATGCTCTTCTGGCCTACACTGAGCACCGCTACTATGGACAGAGCAAGCCCCTGCCGTGAGTGGTCCCTGTAAATAACATAGAGCTTCCTAATGAAATATTTCCCATCGTCTTTTAGGGATCTTTCCAATGAAAACATTAAGTTCTTGAGTGTAAATCAGTCCTTGGCTGATCTTGCTCATTTCATCCATACTATAAAGGCAAACCATGAGGGTTTGTCCGAGTCCAAGGTCTTTATCGTGGGTGGTTCCTACTCCGCCACAATGGTCACCTGGTTCAAGAAGCTCTATCCCGATTTAGTAGTTGGTGGTTGGGCCTCAAGTGCTCCGCTCTTTGCCAAGGTTAACTTTGTGGGTAAGTAGAATTCTTTACTATTTTTGATGGCATATCTTAAAATATATAATTTGCAGAGTACAAGGAAGTCACTGGCCAATCCATCGAACAGATGGGTGGCTCCGCCTGCTACAAGCGAATTGAGAACGGCATTGCCGAGATGGAGTCCATGCTGGCCACCAAACGAGGCGGTGAGGTCAAAGCCATGCTCAAGCTCTGTGAACCCTTCGATGTCTATAGCGATCTAGACATCTGGACCTTGTTTAGCGAGATTTCCGATATCTTTGCGGGCGTAGTTCAGACTCATAAGTAGGTAATACCTCAACTACTAGATTAAAAACTTAACCTTTGTTCAACTTCTAGTGCTGGCCAAATCGAGGGTGTTTGCCAGAAGATAATGGCTGGTTCAAATGATCTGAATGGAGTTGCTGACTTTTTGGTGGATTATTTCGGCGAGAGTGGTGGCAAATGTAACGATCTTAGCTATGATGCTATAATTGGAGTGCTTCTAGACACCAGTTACAATGGCAATATCAGTAGGTTTACAATTAATTGATCTTTAAAGCAACAGTTAACAAAATATTATACAGTGCGTCAGTGGATATTCCAGACCTGCAATGAGTATGGTTGGTATCAAACCTCGGGCTCCAGAGCTCAACCCTTTGGCACCAAGTTCCCTGTTATATACTATACCACCATGTGCGCTGATCTTTATGGCTCTCAGTATAGCAACGAGTTCATTACCAACCAAGTGAGTGTCACCAATCAATTCTTTGGTGGATTGTCTCCCGGTGTGGAAAATGTTTACTTCAGTCACGGACAATTGGATCCCTGGAGGGCAATGGGAATTCAAGATGCCGAACAGGCCACCATCATTCCAGGTGGGTTAATTTGGAACCATTAATTAAAATTAAAGTAATAATTTAATCATGATCTTACAGAATATGCCCATTGCAAGGACTTCAGTTCAATTAGCTCTTCTGACACCGCTGAGATGAAAGCTTCAAAGGAACGCATTGCTGAGCTTGTTCGCGAGTGGGTTAAATAATTGCATATAAAATGATTATGAGGGAAAACCCCAGTTTAAAATTAAGTGGAATAAACAACAAACAAACCAAAAACTTCTTTTATATTATTGAATCTTATCAAGTTAAGATTAGATTCTAAAGAAATCGATGATGATAAGTGATCAATGATTTGATCTGATTGAAGACAAACTATGAAGGCAGCTTTATGATTAAATATTATCAAGTTGAGATTAGATTCTTACTAAAGCGATGGAAAACCATTAGCGATTAATGATTTAATCTGTTTTAAGACAACATTTTTGAAAACATTGCAACAATTTTTAAAATACAAAATTTGTTGAAGACAATTTAATAAAAAAACAGAACTGATAAAATCATATAATTAAATCTTAAAAGAAACCAAATTAAAAAACCTTCAAATCCGAGTATTATTCAATATGACTTGTTCTAAATCGAACTGATTAGGTTATCTTTGCACAGCTGTGATTTGGATTGACCGACAATAAATAGAAATGTCCAACTAATCCCACAAAAGATTCACATAAGTTCCGATCGATTTATGATGGACAGCAAATGTGAGCGTAAAACCGCAAAGTTAGAGGCTATCGTATCATGGCGTTGGTCACTTATCAGATAAATGAAATTTACAATCCTTATCGTGGCCGCAAATTACTTTAGTACCCGACAACATTGACGGTTCATTTAAAAGCCGAAATCGGACCGAATGGATAGTTCATTTGTGAAAATGGCTGCTCTGCGTTTGGTCTGTCTTGCCGTAGTCTTGGTTCTGGGACTGGTCCAAGCCTTGGACATTCCCAAGGCTAAGGATGTGCCTGTTTTGGTCAGGACCATGAAGGACTTGAACCGTGGTCCGCCGCAGCCGGTGATGACTAAGCGCGTGAATGTCCAGGAAAAATGGATCACTCAGAAATTGGATAACTTTGACGAGAGCAACACTGCAACCTATCAAATGGTATGTAAATTTGAAGAAAGTATTTCTTTCAAAAAATAATTATGTAATTTCTAAACGCAATTACAATAAAAACAAGAAAGGAAGCAAACTTCGGCAAACCGAAGTATATAAAATTAAAAGCGTTATTCTGAACTGTCAAATTATTAATTAATCAAAAATAATTTTAAAATAAATTACAAAATAAAAAATGTAATATTTTTATTGTTTTCATAGGAGCTCTATCTTATAGTCGTCCGATTTTAATGAAATTTAACATTTTTTCATTAACTTTTCCGATTATTCCTATGGGAACTATATGCTATAGTCGTCCGATCCGGATCGTTCCGAAAGTTTCATGCAGATATTTCTAAAACTGAGAGACTAGTTAGCGTAGAAACGGACGGATCAAAACTATATATTCTTTTTAAAATCGGAAATGTCTCCTCCACTTCGTTGCAAACTTCTGACTGAAATTATGATACCCTCTGAAAGGGTAAAAAGATAAGATACAATAATTGAGTCATTTGAACGTGTACTTTTGCAGCGATATTTGATCAACGATGAGTTTCAAACTGAGGGAAGTCCCATTTTCATTTATTTGGGCGGCGAATGGGAGATAGAGCCAAGCATGATCAGCGCTGGACATTGGTATGATATGGCCGCTGAGCACAAGGGTGTTCTCGTCTACACCGAACATCGTTACTACGGCCAAAGTGTTCCCACTTCGTGAGTTGATATTAATGTTTTCTACCTTTAGCAAATAATCATCGATTCTTGTTTAGTACCATGTCCACAGAGAATCTCAAGTATCTGGACGTAAAACAGGCCTTGGCTGATGTTGCCAAGTTCATTAAAACCATCAAGGCTGAGAATGCCCAATTGGCCAACTCCAAGGTGCTGCTGGCTGGCGGTTCCTACTCGGCCACCATGGTGGTGTGGTTCAAGCGTCTGTATCCCGACCTGGTCGTTGGTGGCTGGGCCTCCAGTGCTCCTCTTTTGGCCAAGGTCGACTTCACCGAGTACAAGGAGGTGGTGGGCCAGGCCTTCCTCCAGTTGGGCGGCCAGAAGTGCTACAATAGGATTCAGAACGGCATCGCCGAGTTGGAGTCCATGTTCGCCAATAAGCGTGGAGCGGAAGCTAGGGCCATGTTGCGCCTGTGCAATAATTTCGATGACCAAAACGATCTGGACATGTGGTCCCTGTTCGGTAGTATCTCAAATGTATTCTCTGGTGTGGCGCAATACCAAAGGTAGGGATACGGATAGCCAAGATGCGATATGATTTTAATATTTTAAATATTTTTGTACACAAATATTACAGATCCGGCGACATTGAGTACTACTGTGACTACCTGTTGAGCTTCCGAGATGATGTCACGGCCATTGCTAACTTTGTGTACTGGGGCTGGGGAATGCCCAAGTGCGTTGATGTCACCTACTCCAGCACCGTTGAGTACTATCTATGGTTGGTGGAAAACTTTGATGCTGGTAGGTGGCAAATTCTGTGATCCTTAAGCGAAATTCGAATTAATTCTGGCCCTTTGCATAGGTCGTCCTTGGTATTATCAAACATGCAATGAGTACGGCTGGTACCAAAGCTCTGGCTCGAGGAATCAGCCCTTTGGCACCAAATTCCCCGCCACCCTCTACATAAACCTTTGCGGTGATGTCTTCAGTTCGCATTATGGAAATGAGCAGATCAACAACAATGCGGCCCAGACCAACGAGTATTTCGGTGGCATGGAGCCCGGTGTGGAGAATGTCTACATGACCCACGGTGCCTTGGATCCATGGAACCCCATGGGCCATGGAGTGGCCCAGGGAGCGACCGTCATCGCCAATGCCTCGCATTGCGCTGACTTTGGATCGATCTCGTCCGGTGACTCCGCCGAAATGCGGGCCTCCAAGGAAAAGCTCGCTGCACTGGTGCGCCAGTGGTTGGCTTAGACTTGTTGGCCAATATTGGTCTTTATTTGATATTATTGATATGTAATAAAGGAGTAAAAGAACTAATATCAACTGAAAAGTGATTTTTCTATGAGTATTATTAATTTTGAAAATTGATGGTTTATTGATGTCAGAAAAAAACTGGTTTAGGTAACCATGTTTATATTTTAAGGACATGGTATTTACTTCAAACCCAAATTGTTAAATTTAACCATATTAGCATTTGATAAAATAAAAATTTATCTTTAAATTATTTATCATCAAAATTTTATAGTTAATTTTAAAATTTAGTTGACCATTACGTCGAGTTCGTAACCGTATGTGTTTATTAATTATAATTTATCCATTATTTATAATGGATCTAAAAAGAATGTTTATTGGGACTAAGAAAAATAGCTTTTCTTAAAAATTACTTGGCGCCGAAAAGTATGCTCCGAAATATAAATGAAGAAAGAAAAGAAAATCGCAGGGAGCTGTACAACAACATCCATATAAACTAGCCGCTCAAGCAAAAACAAAAACATTGTATGTAATAGGTGTGCGAATTAGTTTACTCATTTTTAAATGAATAGACTTTAAATATTATTTATAAAATACTGTAAGATAAGACTTTAATTCCTAGTCAATTACTTAATTATTTTTATCAGCCGATCCTTTTTTCTTTAAAAACAAATTACACTTCAGTATTTACTGTACTTGATACACAAATGGCAAATAATAGAGAACCGCTTCGTTTTTTTGCTCTTACACAATTGATAAGACAAATGATAATACATACGTATTTTTTCTTACATCATGATAAGACCCGGCTTATTGACCAAGGAACGTAAAAAGTAAATATTTGGTAACAAACAATAGCCAATAAAATTGCCCCATTTGCTTATATGAGATTACTTGAACAAATATGGAGGCACGTGTATAGAACCCAAAATATTAGATTAAATTATTAATTATGTGAGTATTAACACAACTATTAACACAACAATTATTAAGCTATGGCCATAATTTGACCAAATCCATGATGAATAGAAATTAAATCTAGTGCTTCAAAATAATTAAGCTTATGTTATTTACAACGAAAAGTTGTAGTTAAAAAAATGAACTTTCATTTTTTAAATATCTCAGTGACAATACAAAGCTACTCTCTCAATATCGTGTTAAAGTTTATCTCCATAAAAACTCCCAAGTAGAGGTCTGGTACTATAAAAAAATTTTCGAAAACAACAAGGTGTTTTTCAGGTTTGGCCGTCTGAATTTCTGAACGATTGGTGTGACAATTTGACTTGATGCTAACTTGCTCTGACAAATTACAAACTAGAAACTTAACATTTATTTTTAAAAAAGGTGAAGGTTACAAAATGCTTATATAAACTTAACACTTCAGATCTTATCAAAACTTGCACAAGTTCTTTGTCTTCCCGATGACCAAAGGCATTCTAATGAACCTAGCTCAATAAATGAAGGCATAATATAGACAAAGAACCCTCGACTTTATCAGTGCTATATATTTTCCGATTTTTGTTTGCTTTGCAATTAAGTGCCCAAAGACCCTATCTAAGGCTGATGCGAGTATTTTCCAATAAATAGTCGCTCATCGATGGTGGAAAATCATTCGCAAACTTGTGAACTAACTAGCAATATGAAGTATACCCTAGTAGTACTCGCCCTATTGGTGCCCCTGGCAGCGGCAGCCAGTCTGGGTGAAAAAAAGCCAGAGCCCAACGCTTTCGTGAAATCTCTGCGGGAAATGCATCGTGGACCTCCAGTTGAGCCACAGAAGACCAGGGCCAAGGTGGAGGAACGCTGGATCACCCAAAAGCTGGACAACTTCGACAAAAGCAACAATGCCACCTGGCAGAATGTAAGGATCTGCTGACTATCAAGTGTTTATTTTGCTAACTTTGCTAATTTTCAATCCTAGCTGGTCTATATCAACAACAAGTATTTTAAAGATGGCTCTCCCATCTTTATATACCTGGGCGGTGAGTGGGCAATCGATCCCAGTGGCATTACCTCAGGACTGTGGAAGGACATTGCCAAGAAACACAACGGCTCCCTTCTCTACACTGAGCATCGTTTCTATGGCAAGAGCATTCCAATAACGTGAGTTCGAGCAGGGTTCTTATAAATGAAAATGTAATAACACAAAACATTTTAGTCCTCTGTCCACTCGGAATCTGCAAAAGTACCAGAGCGTAGAGCAGGCTTTGGCCGATGTTATCAACGTCATTAAAACGCTGAAGCAAGAGGACAAGTACAAGGACTCCAAGGTGGTGGTCTCTGGCTGCTCCTACTCGGCCACCATGGCCACCTGGATCAGGAAGCTCTATCCCGATGTGATCAGGGGTAGCTGGGCCTCATCTGCACCGATCGTTGCTAAGGTGAACTTTAAGGACTACATGAAGGTGGTGGGCGAGTCGTACGCCACTTTGGGAGGACAATATTGTTACGACCTGATCGACAACGCCACCGCCTATTACGAGATTCTTTTCGATTCTGGAAATGGCACTCAGGCCGCAAAGGAACTTAATCTTTGCTCCAATTTTAATGTCAAAAGCGAGAAGGACCGCTGGCAAATATTCAGCACCATTGCCAACGTTTTCGCCGGCATTGCTCAGTACCAAAAGTAGGTGGCATTAAACAACCATAGAGATATAATGATAATTCAATATTTGTTTTTCATAGGCCAGAAAATTATGACATTCCCAAATATTGCTCAATTTTGCGAGAGTTCAGTGACGACGATAGTGAAGCTTTGTCGAAGTTTATCAACTGGAAAATCAACGATCACTCTGGCGCTTGCCTTAGCACGACCTTCCAAGGAGCTGTGGACTACTACGAATGGTCCAAAGAGAACTACGAAGACAGTAAGTGGTTTTACCTTCTAAAGCAATCTTTTTTGAATAAGTGTTATTAATGACATTTTTCATCCTTTTTAGGCGACTTGCCATGGATTTTCCAGACCTGCAGCGAGTTCGGATGGTTCCAATCTTCGGGCAGCAAGAGCCAACCTTTTGGATCTACTTTCCCAGCTACCCTGTATGAGGACACCTGCAACGGAGTCTTCGGCTCGAACTACACCTCGGCTAACATCCACTCCAAAATCCGGAGAACAAACGAGAAATTCGGTGGCCTCGACGTCAACGCAACCAACATATACTTCGTGCAGGGTGGCTTGGATGGTTGGAACCAGGTGGGTGCTGGAATTGCACAGGGAGCCACCATCATCCCACTGGCCTCCCATTGCCCCGATACTGGATCGATCAGTGCCACCGATAGTGCCGATCTGGTGGCCTCCAAGGAGAAGCTGATCAAACTCGTGGCCGAATGGCTGGAGGACTAATGTCTCAATCTATGAATTTTTCTTAATTTATTGTTTATGTATAATAATATGTTTAATCACAAGTATAATCATGTCATGTATAATGTTTAATCATCAGTTTTTTTGTCTTTAATAAAACGAATTTTTAAAATATTAATCATAAAAGATGCAAACGAGCAACAGTGCTTTACATTAAAAAAAAACAAACTAATTTTAAATGTTACTAATTTAATAGAACGAAAATTCAAAATATATTAATACATACTAATATTGAAAAAAAATATACAAGGTGGACCAAAAGTAGTCAACCGATGTTGTGACGACGCTTATTTGGCCGATATAATCTTCGCGACTTGACCAATAAAAATCTAAAGGTTCAAATATGCAAAGTCAAAGTTTTTCATTTAGAAAATAACCAAACCAAAAAGCCAAACTACTTCAAATGACTTCTTTTGGCCCACCTTCTATGTGTTCTTGTATTGATTTAATCAAACGTATAATTAACCTTATCACTGAGGACTTAACTGAAGCAGCCACTTGTCCTTTGTACAATTAACAAATAACTCCAGTGGGTCATTGTCTTAAACATTGATTGCCAGAACTAATAAAAAGTGAATAGACTTAAAGAGTGTTCCTTGGAAAGTCAAGCTCCCGAAAATTAATTAACCAAGAAAGGACAGAAATAGATCAGTCAGACCTAGAGTTTTCTGTTTGTGAGTTCGAAATCAATTTAATTTTCAAGCTTAGAAAATATTGCAAATATTTGCAATAAAAATTGAAAATTTATGAAGCCCACAAATCCATCAAAATGTTTGAAAAGGTGTGACCACTGCGGCAGTCCATCACGGACATAGACAGACCCGAAAAGTGAGGAAAGGTGGTGGTATGTGGAGGAAGAGCGGTCTCCTACACCCAATGAATTGCACTAAATCCAGAAACGTGCTGGGAATATCAAGATCGATGGTCAGCCGGCTACTTAAAGACGTTGCATTGCTTTAGAAAATGTCATAAATCTTGTGAGCCGAAACCGAATCGAGGCACGCATTATAATGACCCAACAGATCCATTGGGCTTGTTACCCCAAACGAACTTGTTTTCGACAATACAATTTGCTTATAAATAGCATTAAATACAATTAAATCGTGGGCCTTGTATCGTTTAAAATGTAACTGGTACAGTTTTCTTTTCCACTTTAAGATTTTTTTTAGGGATTTCTGGCCTTGTGTATGATATAAGGGGAGAAGGGAGATTGGAAGGCAAAAGAAATGCCAAAGTGTTGAGTTTTTGGTCAAATTATATTGGTATGCGCCAAAGACATGAACGGGAAATACTTTTGTTCTTCTTGAAGGTTCTCAACGAAAGGAGAAGTTTGAGGGGCGAAACTTTGCGCTGGTGTTTGAGAAATTATATCGAAAAAGAAATAAAAATTCCAGCCATAATTTAAGATCTTGTGGAAATCGGTTGATGTTTGAAATATGTTTTTTTTTTTGCTACTCGCCGGTCGGAGGAAATTGTAAAATTCTGTATTTAAGCTTGTTGGTCCCCCTTAAAGAAATACGATTTTAAGGCTGCTATTGGAATAAAGGATTTAGAATATTAAAACAGTAAGAGATTGCCAGGAAGAATAATTCTGAGTCACGCTGAATCATCCCCATCCCACGATAAATTATAAAAGATCTTTGAAGCCGCCTTCAACGACCCGCTGATGGGGAACAATCAGCAAGCTGAAATACCAACATCGAATTAGTCAACTCAAGACATAAACTTAAGCAAGTGGGACGGGGAAGCCGATCCGGCAACAAAACTGGGGATCTGAGCCTGAGAACCTGGCAATAAAATGACAGAAGAGTTGGAGCTGAAACCAAATTACTCTTGGTCAGGGTGCGCAAATAACAAATCAAAACCGGTGACAAAATGATTTAGGAACCGGGCGAAAATGTTCACACGAAGCACCAGAACACAGAACCCATAGCCAAGGAAAAGATCGACCAGAAGCGCAGAAATCGAACAAGAATTGCGAGGGGAGAAACATGCAAAGATTCTGTTCGATATTGTATCCTTTTCGGCTGAGAATTCTTCTACGTGGTCGCTGGATTCGGATTGGTGGGTCTCATTGTTACGCGACGATAAAGATCACACGAGTAAATCATGGTCTGCCGCCACTCACACCCAACTCATCCCCATCCCCATCCGCATCGCCACCCTGCACCCCCCTGGCTCAAAATTCAACCTTGACTGCCGCAGTGCATGTACAAGTAGTTTAGCAAATGAATACAAGAGCCACACAGGGTTTTTCCGCCTTCAAGTTCGGAGCCACGACAAAGGAATTCTCCTCTATAATGGCGTGTAAATTATTGTCCAAAAGTTTCCAATAAATCATCAAGTCGGAGGCAAATAATTTCTGCCCTAAAAGAGAACTAAGAGATTATCTAAGCTGTTTATAATATTTATAAAAGTTCGTAAAAATGCTATTTAGACAAAATCCCATTTAATGTGTAAAGAATATTGAACAGCATTTTCTTCAGTTCTGTTTAATCTTGACATGAAGTGCCTACTCAAGGCAAAGTCAATTATAATTTCACGCTCGTATATGGACTAGACTTGTGGAAACAATCGATGTTAAGTGATTATTTATTGTAATAAAACTATCTACTTATAGAATGACACTTCCCCACAGCACTTAAAAAAAAAACGTTAAATAATATATAATCATTCTTTAAAACAACTTAATTCGGATTTTTATGCGTGTATGTGTTAAAAATTTGGAGCTATAGTGATTTTACTCAGTATTATGCGATCGTTCCTATAGCGAAATTATAATTTTAGTATATAATATTTTCCTGCAATAGAAAGTCAAATTTCGGGAAAGCTTCGTGGAGACAGCCGAACAATCGAAGCTGATTAAGTTTATATATTCCTCATACATTGCAAACTTCTGACTCAAATTATAATACCATCATACCATGCATCGGTATAAAACCTTTGGAGTGATTATAATTTTATTAACGAAGGGAAATATCTCCCGTTGGCTTGAACTTTAAATAATTTTGACTGACCCCATGGCATTTTCGAAAACGTTTAAGAACTACCAGCACGCACATTGTCATAGATCTTAACAACATCTTCGTCCTGTAGAATTTGTTTGCGGAATTCCTGGTAACGCGTCATTTGTCGATCAGTTAAATCCACCAGCGGTTTGTTGGGACAGTGACCCACTTCCGTGTGCGTAATCTTATAGCTGCACTGGCGTAACTTGTCAGTCACCTCTCGCAGATCCTGCGGTCGACACTTAAACAAAACGGTGCCCTTCTCCAAATCGGTAATGACGCCATCGGTGGCCTTGCACCACAAAGCATCTGTTCGCAATGTTTGATTCAAATCCACGAAACTCAAAGAAGATTTACTGGGCAAAGTGGCCTCAATCAAACCAGTTTCGTTAAATAAATGTCGATTGAAGAAGCGCGCTTTGCCCTGCCTCAGTAAAGTGGCCAGCCGCAACTTCAGAGCGCTGAGATTATCCGTCCTAACCTTGCAGACCATGGCGACCAGTTGGCGAGCGTAGTCTATGGGCAGGCTGTAGGTGTTCTGATTCCTCTCGTTCAACTCGCACTCCCTTAGAATCCGCTGCACACGACTGTAGGGCAGTTGCAAGGGCGACAATTGAGCCCTCAGCTCGTAATTCTTCTCGGGATCGATGGAGCCACCACCTCGATGTACGGCCAATCGGAGTTCGTTGGCCATTCTATCCTCATCTGTAGTTTCCTGATCAAAGCGGATATGTTTGTTGCTCAAAGGAGTGATGTAAGTGGAGGTCTTACTCGAGCTCATTTGTCCACAGATCGGAGCCCATCGCACTCGCTTTACAACTATTTGGTCTGGTTGCTCCGGCAGCTGCAAGTCCAGTCCATTGCGCTTGTCGTTCTCCCGATGCGGGGAATTGCTTCGAACTACCATTGGACTTGGTCGGTAGGGATTAACGCTAGACTTCAGCTGGAGAAGTTTCGAGGACATCGACTTGTCCATGGGGTCTAGGCAGCGATTGTGAGACATTTTTAAAATACTTAGAATTTGGACCACTGAAAATTATGATTTTTTAATGGCTTGGACAAGGGATATGATTTTCAATTAATGTCTGAATAAAATTTCGAAGAGTAAACGATTGAAAGCTGTTTGATTCGATACAGTGTTTTTTGGAAACAGGGGTGCTAAAGAAGTTTCTTCTAAAAGAGGTCAACTAACTGGCTTTAGTATGTATACCTTTGCCAGAAGTATTTCAATTTATTTTTAAATAAACTATTTGATTATAAAAACTAAGAGAAATAGTAACATTAATATACTCTAAAGGACTTACCGTATCAGCTGCTGTTAAATTAATTCCCAGACCTCCAGCTCTTGTCGACAGCAGAAATACAAAAATATCGGCTCTCGTTTGGAAATCAGCAACCATGTCGCGACGAGCGGATATTTTACTTGAGCCATCCAATCTCATGTAACGATGCTTGCGATGCCACATGTACTCCTGAATAAAATACGTAATTAATTTGGAGAGACATTAAGATTAAGTATCGAGTAAACTCACCTCCAGCAGGTCAATCATTTTAGTCATCTGCGAGTAGATGAGCACTCGATGCCCATTGGCCTTAAGACGTGTTAGCAGGGTGTCCAGGACAAATAGTTTGCCGGCGTCGGTGATTAGCGTCTCCTTGTCAGGCACCACGATAGAGGACCATCCACTTCGGGGCTTGCACAGGGCCAATCCGCTCGAGACGAGCTCCCTGCCTAGGCTGTTCTCGCACTGCTCATGACGAATCTGCGTCCAGGCGGCAGAGCGACTGTCACAGCTATGAATGAATAACATTTTTAATAACCTCAAAAAATAAGAAACAGGAAAAACTCACTATAAATGCCTATCTACCGCCTGAACTTTCTGGCCCAAGTCATACAGAAGTCGTGGCATGGAGAGCGGTTCGCATTTGTAGCTCCTGGGTTTTCGAGGGCGATGCGGAAATTCAGGTAGCAGCAAGAGAGTGGTCACTTTCACATCGTTCTTGGCATTTGATTTGGTCTGCACCTCCACAGACTCGATCTCCAGCTCCTGCTTAGACTCATCTGCCATCTCCTCGATCAATGAGGTCTTTTCCTTGAGTATCTTGGAGCGAATTACACGATGTTCAATGGTCTCCTGCATGTTGTATGTAAAGTAATCGCCAAAAGCGTATACGCTGCTCTCATTGGTGGTCTGCAAAATGTACAATATTAAAGAGGCTGGTACGAAACAAACAACATTAATTTAATTTACCATTGCCGTAAAAATAAAGTTCTTAAGTACGCAGTTCGAAGGCATATAGTCCAGAACCAACTTGTTTTCTAGCATGGGCTCCAGTAGTTGATACCTACTGTTGGGTTGATTTTTCCACCAGAAGCAGCGGTAGGCCAGCAGTGGATATTTCTCCAATACTCTACGATAATGCAAAAGACTGTGGAGAAAAATAGGTTATTTGTTTCCTTAGTAAATAAGTTTAATAAATCAAAGGCTGACAGAACGAACACCATGTAAGAAAAGTACTAAACACATCATTTATAATTTCAGCAAAACGAAGATTTTAGTTGGAAAATAAATCCAAGATACTCACAAATCAATGAGTCCATTGAGTGTCACATCCACCATATCCCCCACAGATAAATCGCACAAGCGGGTAAATCCAAAGCAACTATTAACGCTCACATCCTCAAAAAGTGATTTTTGCATGTATTCGGATTTGAAGATATTAAAACTGTAAGGACATGGAAGAAAATTTTATAAAAAATGAGAGTGTATTAACTTAAAAACAAATTCACCCACCGATTGTAGAGCAAGTGCTTTCGACTGGGCAGCATTCTGTGTATAAGTCCATCTTCGTGAACCAATCTGGGAATCGTATACTCCGCGCATCGCATGAAGAACGGACTCTTGGCGTCCCTCCGTTCAAAGAGCTCGGGATGATTGCACACCTTGCGGAACTGCATAACCAGATTCATCAGATTTGAAGCCGAAGAGGACGACGAAGTAGTTGTGGATCCACTGGTCAGGTGCAGAAGATCTTCAATTCGGATCTTTTGCTTCAGCGCCCTGTAAAGCAACTTCTGACGAATGGTCAATGGACAGTAGACCATGATCTCGATCTTATCCGACAGCTCGTTCTCGACATCCTTCTTTATCCGCCGCAACATAAACGGTTTTAGGATCATGTGTAGTCTGGAGATTTGTTTCTCATCAATGCCCGTCTTATTTTCAGCATGCGATTCAATATCCTTGGAGAACCACTCGTTAAACTCATCATGGGAATCGAACAACGTTGGCATGATAAAATGCAGCAAAGCCCAAAGCTCAGCCATGCTATTCTGGATGGGAGTGCCACTGAGAAGCAATCGATTCCGACAACTGAAGCCCAGTAGTAATTTCCAGCGTTGAGAAGCAGCGCTCTTGATAGCCTGCGCCTCATCCAGCACCATGTACTGCCACTTAATGCGGTTGAAATACTTGTAGTCGCTGACCACCAGTTGGTAGGATGTGATCACCACATGGAAGCTGGCATCCCGAGTGTGCAGGTGTTTCTGGTCCCAAAACTGACGCAGGATCTTTCGCTCTCCTGGGGAACCCCAATATGGTACCACCTTGAAATCGGGCACGAATCTGGACATTTCCTGCTGCCAGTTGTGAAGCGTAGATGCAGGTGAGATAACCAAAAACGGTCCCCACACTCCGTAGTGCTCGGCGACATGGCAAAGGAATGCAATCGATTGGACTGTCTTGCCCAAACCCATTTCATCCGCCAAGATGCCGCTGATCCCTTGATCGTAAATGTTTGCCAGCCAAGTCATGCCTTTGATTTGATAGCCCTTTAGGGTTCCCTTAAACATCTTTGGCTGCGGTAGGTCCTTCATCTCCGGACGTGGTTCTGGTTTTATATCCCCTATCTCTTCTAGTGTCTCCTTCTCTTGCTCCTCCTTCTTTGCAAAGACATCGAATGCCCTGGTTTTGTCCAGATCCCTTTGCATGGCAGCTTCGGCATTCTCCTGAGCCAACAGCTTCATCTCACCTGGATCGTAGTCATCCTGTACCGCCAGCCTGGCATTTGTCTCCTCATCCAGCTGGCTGAGAATGCGCAACTGATCCTCCTCAGTGCCCTGACCAAGTTTCTTTGACATAAAGTGGGCATATAGCTCGGTTTGTGTAATCAGGAAGTTAAGCTTTCGCTGCTGACGCTTCACCTCAATCAGCTCAACGTCCTGTTTCCGCTGCTCCTCCGCCTCGCGTTCCTGCTTGCGCCGTTGATCTCGCTCCACGCGCTCGTAACGCTTCCAATAGGCGAGCATTTCCCTGGTGAGTCGCTTGGCCCGCCACACCGTCTCCTTCATGATCCTTTGGGAGTTGATGGCACGCTGGCGCACCACTTTGGCGCACATGCCAGCCACCCGTTTGCAGTTGGCCAGCATCTCCTTGTGGTTATTACTCTTGATGCGTTGCAGTCTGCCGGATTCCTTTTTGGACATAATCTGCCAGATGCGACGTCGGCGAGCGGCCATAGCAGCTGGGTTCTTACGCTTTCGCCGAACTTTGGTCACTTGACCCTCGACGCCGCCCACCACATCCACTTCCTCCTCGATCTCCTCTTCCTCCGGATAGTCCAGGGCCAAGCTAGCCAGCTCTCGTTTGTAATCCACCTCGCCACCATCCTCGTCGTCGTCATCGTTGGTGGGCAGTGTGTCGCCAAAGGAGTATTTACCCAGCTCCGACGGATGCACTTCTCCGGATTCCGGTGATCCTATGATGTCTCGCTTCTTGCGACCCCTTCTCCGTTGTTTGGGTGGTTTTGGTCCCGCCTGAGCCTCGGCCAAACGGGCCATGAGGATTTCCTGCTTGGTGCGGCGACGCCGCTTGCGCACGCCTGCGGTCGCCTGCTGCCGCTCAGCGAAGATGTCGTGGTTGGACAGCAAACCGCTGCTATAGTATGCATATTGTGCATTCTACAAAGGATTAAAGCAGAAATTAGTTCACGATTGTAAGAAAATTGAAAAACAATGGCCAGAAATACAATAAATGCGTTTCTTTTGCTTAGAAATAACAGTTTAACAACATTTTTTTTAAGAACCTTTGGCACCTTTAAATTAAATAAAGGAGGTGATCTTTTGATATTTTCAAGGGGTATTTTCTCTAATTAATAAAAACTATACATCTACGAAGTCATTCAAGTTTGACAAAATCTGCTTAAATTTATTTTATCTGCATAAAAATGAACAAGAAATCGATTCTGACTGTTTGATTCTAAGCTCCATTGAAATGTATAAGATTTAAGGGCGCTCCACAATTCTACATTACTCACTGTGGCCTTTTTGTAGTAGTTCTTTCGCTGGCGTTGTTCCCGGATGTGCTCCCTGAGCAGCTGATGCACATACTCGTCCTCGGTGATGGTGGGATCATCGCTTTCCGTATCGCTCAGAAGGAGATCGTAGAGCCACTCCCGGTCGCTGGTCAGATCGTTGAAGTTATATAGTTGCGCCTTCACACTTTGTCGCTCTGAAAGGGGGGTATTTAAGTCAGGATTCTGTAGTGTCTGCCGAAGCACACAACTTACCCTCTTTGCTGCCCAGCAAACGGTGCTTCCGCTTGCCGGACTGCTTCGTCCTGACGACGCCCACGGTGGAGGAGTCATCCGAGTCCAGGGCCTCGTGCTCCCTCTTGACCGCCTGCTCCTCGTCACTTTCCTCGTTGCTGCTCAGTGGTTTCCGCAGGGCTCTTTTGGCCATGTCCATAAAGGGTCGCATGTTGAGGGCTGCCTCCAACCGTTGGATGTGCAGCGGCTCCGCGATGAGACGGGGGCGTGGCTGCGGCGCCACCGCGGGCTTGGCTTCCATCGTGGGAGCGGTTTAAGTCAGCTTTGTAGCACAATTATCACGTAATTTCGCTTTTCTACTTATTCGGCATGCGTCGAGGTAAACAACAGTGTGACCGCAGCGGGATCGGCGAAAAATACCAGCAGAACGGCTTTAAAACACCAACATATCACCGGTTTTACAGGGGGTGACGGTAAGAAAATACTGAAGATAAAAACTATACAAATTTTAATAATAATTTGCTATAGGAACAACTTATATTTAATTAGGTACTAAGTAGTGCAACATAAACATCAATTTAAATTTTCAATTCAAATATAATTGTTTTGAAATCATGAACTAAATGTTTTGTTTATTTTATTTACAAAATTAATGAAATTTAAGAAGGTTACAAGGCGTGATTCCCTTATATAATCAGAAAATTTACCTAATATATATATGAGTATATTACTTTACAAATAATAAAGAAGGAAATTTTCTCAGTGCTTTCGGCAAACAAAAATATCGGTTAAAAGGTTCATCTCTAGCCGGCTTTTGTGTTTTCCAACACTAGCCACAACTTGTTCGCCAGCTGTTTGCGGCCTTGTTTTCATTTTGCATTGTAATAATTTTACCACCTTTTTGTTTAGTGTATTTTGGTGCTACTTAAATCCAGTAAAAGAGCAACTTTTGTTATGTCTTGGCAAAATGCATTGGTCAAGGAAATGTTAAAACCTGAAAACTTGATAATTTCATCAGAACTCGCCGTTGTGATAGCAGACAAGTTCCCCAAAGCGGTGCACCACTACCTGGTGCTTCCATTAGCCGATATTCCCAGTATCTTTCAGGTACATATGCATCAATGCGAAACCCCACAAGGACCACTTACTTTATATATATATTAAATACTGAATTTCAGTTGAATCGGAGTCACTTGCCGCTTTTGGAGGAACTTCATCTTTTGGCCAGGAATGTGGTAGAGGTGAAGGGAGTCCGCTGGGAGGATTTCCAGGTGGGATTCCATGCGGAACCGAGCATGCTAAGGCTTCACTTGCATGTAATCTCCAAGGATTTCGTATCACCAAGTCTGAAGAACAAGAAACATTGGAACTCCTTCAACACAGACCTATTTGTGCCCTACAATAGTAAGAATTCCCTATTGATATGATTTATAATGCCAAAACGCTATCATAAACTAAATAATTTCTGAACCTAGTTTTTTTATTAATTAAATTTGGCAAATATTAACACTTAGCTCTAATACAAAAACAGAACACATTTTCAGTTAATTGGAAATTTTAAAAGTCGGTTACATTTGAAAACATTTTGTATTCCAATATAAAGTGCAGATGAACCAAATATTTAGAACGTTCGTATTTCGTATTCGTATTTTCTACGATAAGTTTTCTTTTTTTTTCAAATCTAATAAAAAACATGGAAATCTTTCAGAATGGCTAGAATTTATTTATTGCCATTCAATTTTTTAACGTCAAAACCTTTGTTCATCGATTGTTTAGGGGACTCTCTGATAACCCAGAAGTGAAACCTATCGAATTGTTATTTAGTATTCTTTTTCCGCACGAACTACTTTCTTTCGCTTGTCAGTAAATCATTCTGCTTACAGAACTTTGCCAACAGCTGGAGAAGGAGAATTGCATTGGGCGACTGCCGAAAGCAGTGAAAGACGAACTGCTGGCCAAGCCGCTGACTTGCAATCAGTGCGAATTTGTGGCCAAAAACGTGCCAACACTTAAGGAGCATCTGGTGGGGCACCTCGCTGATCGCCCTAGCAAACGAACCACCAGTGCGTACTAGAGAACCAGTTCATCAGCTTAGAGAACCGGGAGTAGACATCTGATATTCCCGGCTGATACGGAACTTTTTGCTTATATTTCGGTGATTTTCACAATTATCGGGAGCGGCCGCTATCAGTAAAATGGAGCTTGATGAGAAGGCATATTTTCGGGATGAGCTGAAGCGAAAGCTAAAGGATAAGAGGAACTTTCTCATCGAAAGTGATCGGGCGGTGGTGATTAAAGCTGATTATCCCAAATCGCAATATCATTTTCGTGTGGTGGCTAAGGAGGAACTGAGGGACATAACTCAGGTAAGTCTTTGACAGAATGCTATCGTTTCATTATTCACGGTTCGGTCTTGTTGCCAGTTAAACGGAGATCATCTGCCTTTGTTGGATCACATGATGGATTTGGCCAATCAAATAATCGAAAAACAGGAGCACCTGGAGTCGCGTAACTTTCGCATAGGCTTCAAGGCCCACACCTTCTGGAATCGGCTAAATCTGCATGTCATTTCTGATGACTTCTACTCCATGGCCATGAAACGTCCGCGCCACTGGAACAGCTTCAATACGGAACTATTTATGCCATTTCAAATGGTGCACATGATGCTCAGCATGCAGGGCTTCATCGAACCAATTTCGGATGAGCGGCACAAGGAGCTGCAGCTTCAGAAACCTTTACGTTGCAACCAGTGCGATTTTGTGACCGATTTGCTGCTGGAACTAAAGGCGCACCTATATTCCCACTGGCAGCGTAAAGAAGGCGAACGTGAGCAGAAGAAAAAAACGGATAAAATTATTCAAATGCTGGATGAGGCGAAGATAGATACGGCGGCGAAACCAGCTGAGCCCTTGGAAGTTTGTTCCCAAATTCAGACAGGAGCGGAAATTTCCCAGAATCCAAATCTAAGGAATCCCTTTCTAACACTACAACAACAGCAGGCTCAGCAGCAGGCCGACAATGGATATGATAACTATATGTACGGACCACCGGTCAACATGATGAACCAACCGAATCCCAACAATCCCTTCCGCAACACTCCTCCCCTCAACATCCAATCGATGACTCCGCCGCAACCGCATACATTTAATTATCGTCAACCCGGCTATATGCCGCGCGGACCTATACAACATCAAGGTCCTAGAGCTCCTTGGAATGGTCCTCGCTTTCCACCTGGTCAACATCAAAGAAACTTCAATGTATTCCGACCACCACCTCCAGCAAACCTGCAAGGCGGTCATCAATATCCAAATCAGGGATTTGTCGGCCAAGGAGCTGGGCCGAGTGGTCAACAGAATGGAACAAGACCGAAGTGGACACCAAGAAATGTCTTACACAACAACCAACAGAATCCAAACCAAAAGTTTCAGCAGCCAAATCAGAATCACAATCAACAAAATCGACCTTATTCCAGTCAACAGAATCGTCAGAATCAATATCAGCAAAATAATCAGACCCAGAATCCACAGAACGCCCAAAAAGCCCAACCTCCCAATCAAGTGAATCGTCAAAACACCAATAATCAAAATCGTCAGAATCCTAATCAACAGAATCGTCCAAACCCTAATCAAAACAACCAGAATAAAAACAAGAAACTAGCAAACCAAAAAAAACCACAGCAACCAGCTGGAAATCCAAATCAAGGAGCTCAGGTCTCAACACCTACAACCAATCCCAAGTCGGCTGGCACTTAGGACCATTTAGTATAAATGTATTTAAACGACTTTTTTTTTTAAATTTTAAAAACCATAACAAAATGGTTTATATTCATATTCGTTTAATAATAAGTGAGCCATAAGAATCAATGCAGGTCCAGCCGACCAATTGCAAAAATGTATGTTCGATTATTATTTTACTTTAATTGGGAAAGCATTACAAATGCATTATAAATGTTATCAGTTCTAAAAAAAATTATCATTACAATGAGTCATTCTTCATAGAATTATCAACGAAAATAATCTGTAGTACCATATGATAAATGGTTTAAAATAAATTTATTATATTATTATTCTTTCAAAAATAATAGTAAAAAAAACTAAACTACAAATATTATTTCAAAAGATAAACACTACACAAAATCCAATCTGTAAACATTTCCAACCGTGCATGAAAAATATTGATTAAATAAATAAATACATGCACTTGTCTCACTGCATATTTTATACATATGTATATATATTTCAGCGATAAGAAAACTGCATGATTGACTTAATGTTCGACTTAATTTTTACTTACATCTAAACGACCAAATCCTCCGCACTGCTTTAGGCAGCTGATGAAAAGCTCTACTAATTTAAAACAAAAATCAAGCAGATTCAGTTTTAATTTTCCTTGGATCAATTCAATAAGATCCACTTCCTTCGTTATCCTTTTAAAATTTGTAATATCTTAAGGAAGTGCTTTAATTTTACTTAATTATGTTTTACTTAATTATGTTCATATTTACATTTGAAACATTTTATTTGAAAAAAAATTATGTTATAGAAAGGAGGAAAATTTTTTTTAATGTGCTCAGACTTTTGTTCTGGTGCCCTCAAAAAAACTGAAATTTATTTCAGTGTAGTCGATAAACCAAAATACCGAGTCAAAGTTCCATCTCTAGTCGGGATTTCCAGTTTTTCAACATTACCATCCCAAATAGATCGTCAGCTGTTTGTGTTATTCTCTTTATTTTGCGTTTTAATGTGTAAAATTCACAGTCTATAAGCGGTCTATTGCGAATTAGGAAATTACCAAGTTCCGAAAGCAAGGAAAATAGTTTATTTCTACAGGAATCAAATAAAAGTGTAAAATTTGTCATGGCTTGGCAAAACGGATTAATCAGAGACATGGTTAAACCAGAATACTTGATAGTTTCATCAGAACTAGGCGTTGCTATAGCAGACAAGTTTCCTAAGGCAATGCATCACTACTTGGTGCTTCCAACTGCCGATATTCCCAGCATCTTTGTGGTGAGCAACCCTACAGTAATCCTTATTCTACATACATATATGTACATATATTATTTCGTATATTTCAGTTAAACCGGAGCCATTTGCCGCTTTTGGAAGAGCTTTACCGTCTGGCCCGAAATGCCGTAGAGAAGAAGGGGGTGCCCTGGGAGGACTTCCAGGTGGGGTTTCACGCGGAGCCCAGCTTGCACAGGCTCCATTTGCATGTCATCTCAACGGATTTCGTATCACCAAGTCTGAAGACCAAAAAACATTGGAACTGCCACAACACCGAACTATTTGTGCCCTACGAAAGTATGAATTATGGGGAAAATGTATTGTGAGCTATGTACTTAGCTATAAACGCCTTCGTTCAATTTTTGGGATTCTCCTTTTTAAAGATTCCAAAATTGTACAAAAGAATTATTTGCATATATCAAAAACTTTTTAAATTTTGAATGGAATTCAAAAGAACTTTTAAACCTCAAACCTCTATCTGTGACTTTGAATTCGTGTTATGAAGACAGCGAAAATAAGATTTAAATTATATACATTTTGTGGTAGTCCCAAAATCACATTTCAATCAAATTTATTTGTTAGTAGTTCTTCTAATGTGTTTTACCTTCACTGTTTCTTGTCATATTTAGAACTGTACGAACAACTGGAAAGGGATAATTGCTTTTCGCGATTTCCAAAATCGCTGGTAAAGGAACTGCTAGCCAAGCCGCTGGTTTGTAACCAGTGTGAATTTGCCTCCGATTCGCTGCTAAATTTTAAAACCCACTTACTGAATCACTGGCAGCGTAAAGAAGACGAACGTAAGAAGACTACAAATTTGGATAACATAACTAAAATGATGAATGAGGCGAAACTAGATACAAAAATTATGCCATTATGCCACAATCAAGGCTCAAAAAATCCCTTTCAATTACCGTCCAAGCAACAAGCCGTGAAAGAATGTGCCAATCATAAACTTGATCTTTCAACCACTGAAATGATTCAGCGAAACAATCCGCCATTCAACTTTCAAGCGATGAATCCGCTGAAACCAAATAATGCACCCAAATATAGGCAACATCATGGGTCGAGGACCATTTGGAATGGTCCTTCCTTTCCGCCTTTTCAACATCAAATCAACTATAGGTATCCGATGGTAAATGGATTCCGAGGACCATCTAATATTATCCAGCATGGAATTCCGCATTATCCAAATCAGGCATTTGTCGGCCCGGGAGCTTGGCCAAGTGGTCAACAAAGTGGAGTGAGATCGAAATTGATACCAAGAAATTATCAACAAAATCAAAATCAACAGAGATCTCAACAGAACTCAAATTTGCAGCACCCAACTCAAAATGTGAATCGAAATCAGGTAAACCCCTCAAATTGTCAGAATCCCAACCAAAATCGACAAAATTATAATCAGAAAGCTACAAAACCAATAAATCAACCTGCTGGCAATCTTCACGACCAAGAAGTTACGGCTCCGCCACCTTAAACCGATTGCAAACCTATTCCTATTTTAAAAAGGTTTTAATAATTTTTGAAAATAATTATTTAACATGGAAAATGAGGAACAATAATGTTTATTGAAAATGAGTAAGCTACATGAAAAATTGGCTTTATAAACAGTTCATTTGAGTTTAAAATCATTTTAAATATTTTATGACTGTTTAAGTTACACACATTTTATTTTTAAATTATTATCCAAAATATAAAACCTTTTGAAAGTACTTAATTGCTCGAATATGATAAATATGAAGTACGTTTACAGTATTTTTAAACCTACCGCATGCACACTCCATGCACACTTGCATTAAATAAAAAAAAAATAAAATAAAAAAAAAAAAAAATAATTTTAAAAACACAATTCCATAAAATTCCTGGAAGTTTAGCAAGGCGGATATCGTTTTAATTTTCTTAGAAAAACAGTTTGACTTCGCCACCCACCTGCACCATCATTTAAAAGACTCAATTAGAGTGCTTTAGCCAACTGGAAAAGAACGAACCCACGGCTAATTAAGCAGCCACCAAGGGGCATCAGCAGAGCTGCTCCTCCCCCAGAGTCAGCTGAAACACTTATTAAATTATGTTTCAGAATTTGAAAAGTGGACAAAGTTTGTCGGATAACCAGCTCCCCTGTGAGAAGTATAACTTTAAAATGTGCCGCATTGTGTTCCTAGCTTATAAATGACGCTGGTGTTAGATTTTTTGATATTAATCAATAATAGTTGAACATTTAAAATTATATTTTATTTGTATTAAATGCTATTGGGTTGTTAAAAATTTGATTTCAACATAAATAAACAGCAAACTAGAAAAGATAATAGTTTTCGTAAAGATTAAATTTGTTTTAATAAAATATGAATGTGTATTTAATAATAATGTTTTATGCTTGATAAAACAAATTCGTAAAATATACTTCCTATAACTCAAAGTTTGCTAAATTCGTTTAATATGGCAATGTGTTGTTTTCAATTAATTACTTTGATTAATTAATTTACAGAATATGTACTACATAGGCAATGCAACCCCCACGGAGGTCTACTTTGAATTCTTTTTATTCTCTGCACATTTGCCATTAATTTTATACTTTACAAGGCGAAATATAAGCTTAAAGGAGACAAAGTCACTGGTTCGTTCCATGCCCAAAGGCAGTGCCAAGGAGCCAAGCTAATCCACATCAGAGCGATAAACAAAATTCAAGGCCTGAGCCAGACAGGGTCCTCGTGTTTTTGTTGCAGTAATTTAAATTCGCCTCGACTTTTTTTAGTGTGTCACAGTGTCAAGGTGTCCGAAAGCTGGCACTCAAGCCACAGCCCCATCGATGTTCTCTGGGGGTGAACTTGTCTCTACTTTCGGGCTCTACTTTCGGTGAGCAAATCAATAGCTCCATTAAAGCTATCTCTCGGAGCCTTACCACCTGTTATGTCTCGAGCAACAGGAGGCCATTCATAAAGGACGTTACTTTGGAGTCAGAGAGCGGCGAAAAGCTCTCAAGGACAGTTTCCCCATGAGAATCACTCGTTTTGAGTCCTTTTCCCAGGCGCATGCTCGCAGACGAAAGCTTTTCACAAGCGAGAAATTTTCAAATTAACGCGAGGGGCAAAAATAAGAATGAATAAAAGGAAGAGAGCGACGGCTTTTAGTTAAATTGTTTGTTAAACGATCTGTAATTATTAATTATTATTTGTTAATATAAAGCGTCAAGTATAAAATGTCCCTAAATTGCAACACGCGAATTCTTTGTGAGATTTTAATGTCATCTCTTTTAAATAAAAATGCGTTTTATATATTGTTAACATTGTAGAAACACTTAATTAGTGAAGCAGAACCATTTGATAAAAATAATTATTAAAGTACAAAAATAATTGTTCGCATTGTAGCAATACGAAAATATAAGAAGAGACATAACTCAGACACAATAATGAAAAAATAAATTTAAATAATATTTGTTGCATTGTATAATTACAATATATATAACATACAAAGCTATTTAAATACCTTGGAACAAAATCTTTGGCAAAGTTAAGAAATTGAATACAAATTTTTGAAACCTCGTGGTGAACTTTATTAATTAATGTGTTCCTTTAGATCACATCCAACTAATAAGTTAAATACTTATATTTCTTTAATTATTTATTAACGTAGTAAATATTATTAGTTCACCATTTCGAAAGATTCTTAAATATTGCCTTTAATTGAATACTTTTCTTTGTAACCCAAAGAGGAATTTTAAATTCTTTTTCTGGCAGCCAAGAACAACACAAACATGTATTCCCTTATAAATATTTACAAGAGATATGCATGCCCCCATATTGGGTGGCACATGTGTAATGCTTTTCTGCACGTAAAACTTTATTTATATGCTGATGATTTTTTCAAGCCCATTTTTGCACATTTTTTCTGCACTGTGGATTGTTCGTATGGTGGATAATCCTTTTCTCTGTCATTACGTCCATCCTCAGGGTAGCAAAAACAACTGCGGCAAATAAGAGGCTCAACATCAATTGCACGATTTAACCAATTTGCAATTTCTGTATGAGAATGAGTAGACGAAGAATAACAACAACGACGAAGTCAAGGGCGACAAAGAGGCTCAATAATAATAACTTTTCATAGCGCCGCCATTATCGTTAAAAGTCCTCCAGCGAATGGGGTTCGTTATGCTGGAATGTTTGGTATATCAAGTTACCAACTAGCAGCATTGATTGCTGAGCAATTCTGTAAATTGCATTAAAATAAAAAAAAATTGCAAGAAATGTTATACAAACTGAGGAGAAAAAATCTTAAAACTGTTAAATTAATATATATATATATCTATATAATCTTTAATTCATCTTTTCTGTAATTTTAATTTTTGTATGGATTGTAAATATATTGTAAGCGGAAAACTTTTAAAAACTGTTTGTGTTCAATTTAATTTTGCCTAGAACGTAAATTATTAAAGCTACTATTGATACTTAATAAACAATGTTTTCAATAGTTTTAAAATTAATATTATTTAAAAAAAACTTAATAATTTATACTGTTTTTAATTTCCAAAACATTTTATAGTAAAAGTTGCCATTACAATCTACCTTGGAGTTTTCCATTTTACCCTTTGCCTTTGCATGTTAAGGGAGTTCTGCTCATAAGTTTTCCCAGTTCGACTTTCGCTTCCGCAATCCTTTCGCATTGTATGCACAGGACACGCGCTGACACGGCTGGAATCCTGCATCGCTGAGCTGCTCCAATGTCGCGCGCCATTGTGCTGTATATGGGGCGGATGAGTAATATGCCAATTACATATTTTGTGCATTCTCCTGTTGCTTGTTCGCTCAGCTGCTTACATTTTTATGTTCACTTTTTTCCATGTCAACGCTGTAAAAATATTTTTTATGGTTATTTTCACGTTGCCTGCACTTGGTCTTTGGTTGGTTTTATTTCAGTGGGTGTTTGCTTATCTGCCTGCAGCAACATTGCGTATACGAGGTGACGGCTTCAAGCGGCTTATAGCCGGCTAAACTTGGCAAACTTGGTTACCTGGCAATTTAGAATAGGTTAAAGTAGTAAAATTTGTAAAGCTTCTTAGCTTTGGAAGAGACTTTCGTGGAAATAAATATAAAATCGGAATTTTCAGCAGAAGAATGCAAAATGTTTGCCACAAATATGTGTCATGCATACAGTTATTTTTTACAACGAAGTTTTATTTAAGTTTTATCTGCCATATTTCAATGTAACATTTTGCATTAACCTTGTCGTAGTGCACTCAACACTGCATATATTTGTATTTTTATTTAAATTTTCATTATGCACGTCATAGGGGTAAAGCGTTTCTATATAAACTTTAGCAGTACCTACATTTTTTATAAATGAAAATTAATAGCTCAACATGAAGTTACTACATTTCACTGTGCAAATCATTTTTTTTGTGCCAAGTTTTTCGGCAACTTTTAATCCTTATAAAAGAAATTTGGAGTTGCTTAACTTAGAACCAATCTCCGGGTTATATACAAAAAATGAAGTAGCTTCTGTTGAGGAACTTTGGTTGGATCAAAAGGTTGACAATTTTGATGAAAAAAACGATCAAACTTGGAAAATGGTAACCCCTACTTCTTTACTGACTAATTTTTGGAACACAAAAATCAGAATTTTATTTGTTAGCGTTATTTTCGTAATGCCAAGTATCACAAGCCCCAAGGACCCATCTACATATTTGTGGGAGGTGAGTGGACAATCAGTCGAGGTTTAATGAGCACTGGCTTAACCCACGATATGGCTGTGGAAAATTCTGGCATGCTTTTCTACACAGAACATCGTTATTATGGAAAGAGTTTACCATTTGGGTGAGAAACAAATAATTTACCCAAAAGAGTCAATTTTTAATTTATAGTTTTTAATCTACAGAAAGGAGAGTTTTCAACTGCATCACCTCAAGCAACTAAATCTCCATCAATCATTAGCCGACTTGGCACACTTCATACGCCATCAAAAGTCGGAAAACGCTGAAATGAGAGACTCCAAAGTCATTTTGGTTGGCGGCTCTTATTCGGGCAGTTTGGCGGCCTGGATGACTCAACTGTATCCAGATTTAGTAGCTGCCAGTTGGGCTTCAAGTGCTCCACTGTTGGCCAAAGCGGATTTTTATGGTGAGAGAGAAGTTTCTAGGAAATCTTTATTAACATTTTATTTTTAGAATACATGGAATTGGTCAGCCGCTCTATTCAATTGAGCTATGCTCATAATTGCTCAATGCGAATCGAAAAAGGTTTGAAACACTTGGTAAAGTTATTTAATGACAATGGAATTCAGGAGCTTCTTTACGAGTTTAATGGCTGTGAAGATTACAATCCAAAGGATCCTCTGGACAGGGCAGCTTTCTTCAATGGTCTGGGAAACTACTTTGCTTTGGTGGTGCAAAGCTATAGGTATGAATTTTAATCGACTATCTTTTCATAAGAGTCCTCTCTTATAATTTGTATTATTTTACAGTGCTTATATACCACGCCTTTGTGAGACCTTAATGTCTTTAAATTCCAATGATGAATTAGCGTTTGTAAGCTTCTTAAAACTTCTTTACTCAGAAGGCAAACGTTCCAGTGATTGCCAGGACTTTGGCTACTCATCCATGTTACAAATATTCCGTGAGGATACAGATCAAGGCTCTGAAAGTAACTAAGCAAAACCGCAGTAAATTATTATTGTTTCATAAAATGTTGTTCTCAGCTCGAGCATGGTTTTATCAAACTTGCAATGAATTCGGTTGGTACACGACCACGAAATCGAACTCCTCATCGTCCGCCGCCTTTGCCAATCAGGTGCCCTTGTCCTACTTCGTAAAACTCTGCCAGGATGCGTTTGGAGCGGAGCAGACTGCCCAGAAGTTGGCCCACGGCGTCAAGCAGACGAATGGTAAATTCGGCGGGTACGGCTTCAATCAGAGCGAGCGTTATGCACAGGTAATCTTCACGCATGGCCAGTTGGATCCGTGGCGTGCTTTGGGCCAGCAAACGGGTCAACAGGCCTGTGTCCTGACGGGTGAGTCCTTGGCAAGTGATTGAGAGACCCCGCTTAGTTTCGTGCCTCGTGCCACAGGCTATTCGCATGTGGAGGATTTGGCCAGCATCCGGGTGACGGACACTGTGCAGATGAATCTGGCCAAGTTGCGTGTGATGTCCTTTCTGCGACGCCACATATGAATCACCCCGGATCCACTCGAATGAATTATTAAATAAACAAATGTGTTGGGTGATTAGCCCATTTGATAAGGTCGTGGGCGCAGCTCCACTTTTCCCTTGGCCTTTGGCAAACAGAGACAAATTGAGTGATGCTAGGAATCCTAAGT